AGAAATAGCCCGAGAAGTTAGCAGGGGAAATGGTGCTATTTTATATGAGTGACGCATTTTGATACCTCCTCCCTTCTGTGTCTCTGGAGAGAAAGAGTCTCATTGTGCCGCTCATGCTGGTGTAGCTTCGTGAGAAACACTGTGCTTGGCTTTCTGAGACAGGGTCTCACTGTGCAGTTCGGGCTGGTCTTGAACTCAAAGCAATTCTCCGGCCTCAGCCTCCTGAGTACTGGAATTGCAGGTGTGTACCACAACATCCAGTTAAAAGACAAAAAAAAAAAAAAAAGGGAGGGAAGCATGTGCTTAGCATGTGAATGGTCTGGATTTGGTCTCCAGCATCAAAAAAACCTTATTGGGGGCCGGGAAAATGGCTCTGTAGAATAAGCACTTGCCTGACAAGCACAAGGGCCTGAGTTCAAAACCTCGGTTCCACTGAATAAAAAAAACACAAACCTTAATCGTTCTCTTTTCTCTCCCCTAAGTAATAATCCTGATAAGCCTGCCACTGTGGGAATATGCTGTTATCAGAACTACTGCCGGTGACGTGTACCAGCTTGATTGAAGAAAGTCTCAAAGTGACACAATCGTCACTCTCTGGGCCAATGTTACGGACCGCCCCCTAGGACAGTCAGCTCTGGGGAGTGTATCAGAGTGCCTCTTCTGGGGCTCAACTCAGCCTCAGCGGCACCCCCAGAATAGGGATCCAATGAGTCACAATATCCCTAGTGCTACAAACCGAAAAGATACCTTCCACACTCTTCCAAAAAGAAATTTATTTATTTATTTATTTATTTATTTATTTATTTTTCAGTGTATTTTAGTACAGGGTCTCCAGGGTCTCGTTACACAGACCAGACTCGTAGTCATCCTTCTGTTTTCAGCCTCCCAAACTCTGGGATTACTGGTGTGCCCTACCACATGTGGTTTCAGTCACCCTCTCAGCATGCCCCAGGGTCAGGACTGGCAAGGCACCCTGAGGGTGGAACCCCAAGTCCGTGTACCTGCCTAAGCAGGAGATTTCATCTGCTGAACTATCTGGCCAGCCCTCGAAAAGAAATTTTGGAATATAAGGACAAAGGTTTTGCCTCTCTCTCTCTCTCTCTCTCTCTCTCTCTCTCTCTCTCTCTAATTTATGTATTTTATATAGGGTCTTACTACACAGCTCGGACTCTAGTGATCCTTCTGTTTTTAGCCTCCCCAGTGTTGGGATTACAGGCGTGCGTCACCACACCCAGACTTGGTTGAGGGATTGGCCAGCCCGCCTGCCGTACCTGGGACCCAGCCCATTCCCTGCACTTGCCTAAGCAGGCGCTTAGTCCACTGAGCTATCTCACCAGCCCTGGGTTTGCCTTAGAAGTTTCCTTAAAAGATCAACTCCAGGACTGGGGTATAGCTCAGTGGTTAGAGGACTTGCTTAGCACCAGAGTCCTAGTGCTCTCCCTACCAAGGCTAAACAATAACAATTTAAAAGCCCCAACAACTTCCTCAGGGTGATTGGGATTAGAAACTTTTGTAATCTTCTTGTCTTTGCCTATTTTACACCTTAAATGGGTTATGAACATGTACCACTTTGCATCACAAATGATATTATTAGCCGGAATCTCCTCTGCCCTTTCTCCACCTAGCAAAATGTCTGTTTTAAGCCACGTGTGGCTTTAAAATTTCTAAAAGATAATTGTATACCTCAACCACTGTGAGGTCTTTCTGTTTCCTCATGGGTAAGCTGGGACTGGCCCCTGCCCTGCTGGGAGGCACAGAACTCTGAGCTCTTATTGAAAGTAACACCCTAGGCAGGAGATTGAGGTTGAGTCCCCAGCCCACAGACCATACTTGGCCTGGGTTCACGCGCCTACCCTGGGATGGCAAAGCGTGGGCGACAGACCTGCAAATATCACCTATCTGCCACCTCAACCAACTTTCTGAAACAACCCACAGAATCAGGGAACACCTTCCCTAGGTTGGGTTTTTTTTTTTTTTTTTTTTTTTTTTTTTTTTTTTTTGTTTTGGGAGAGTCCACACAGCCCCAGAGCGAAGCCTGGAGCGCCGGATTCCCGGGAAATCACAAAGGGACCTCTTCTACAAAGGACACTCAGAGGCCAGACCTCAGCATGGCACAGGCAACCTCCTTTCACAGGATAAAGATTTTCCTGAGCCACGGGTGGTGCCGCAAATTTGCCATCCCCACTGCTAGGGACTCGGAGAAGGGAGGATCACAAGTTTGAGTTCAGCCAAGGCAAGGTAGATACTGTCTCTAAATTTTAAAAATTAGGTTTAAATTTTAAAGGAGGGGGGATGTGGATAGATGGTCTCAGAGGCAGAGGGCTTTCCTAGCAAGCCCAGGACCCTAGGCTCACACCCACTTCCACGCTGAGGACATTTCCTTCCCTTGCACTTTATTGTAGTAGCTCTGGTTTAAAATTAGAGGTCTTCCTAAATGGGTCTCTTACCCTCCCCTCCCCTTTTTTTTTCTTCAGGGGCATTTTCTCAAATGCTGCGCCTCACAATGGAAACATCTGGCTACTATTTCTCTACTCAAGTTTTAAAATTAAAAATTATTAGAAGCAAAGCCTTTAGCCCTGCCCTTCCTTGCCTAATAAAATCTAGTGTCTTGCTTTCAAACTTAACGCTTAGAGGATGACAGGTTCCAAAGATGTGGGGGTTCAGGCTTGTTTTGCTGCTTTTATGGTTTTGTCGGAAATTCTTTCATGCTAGCCCCTGTGAACCGTCCCACTCTTCTCCAGGGTGGCGCGCACTGTGGATAAATCATGATGGGCTCATCTTCACATCTTAGGCTGTACAGCATTTGCCTCTGGACTATGTTATCTTGCAGCAATTCCTCTTCTCTGGGCCGCTCCGCAGTCAGCCTCAAAGACTCACCGAGGCAGCGGAAGCATGTTTTAGAGAGCGCGAGCCGCAAGCCAACGCGGCAGTGAAGCCCGCGCGGGGGGGGGGGGGGGGGACGGGCGCCCTGCCCCCACCGCCCTTGTCTTGGCCCTAGCGGGGGTGCGGACGCGGCGGTCGCCTCTGCCAGTAGAGGGCACAATTACTTTACTTTCGCAGACCCGACCCGATTGCCGCTTGGAGGGGGCGGAGGTAAAACGCTTTGCAGCAAAACCGAGCCTAGGGATTGGTCGCTCCAGGCCTGTGCGGCAACAGTTTAGAGGCTGGAACCACTTTCAATCCTTAAAACTGGATCGTGCAGCAAGCTCGAATTGGGGGAAGTTACTACGCATTTAACAATTGACTGCCGAGCTGCAGACTCCACGGGCAATAACTTGGGAAGCGTCCGCGCTGTACTTCCCCCTCTCTTTTATTTTCTTTTTGCTAAGAGTGAGAAAAGTTTTCTTCAAATGCCTTTGGCTGAGGGAACAGGAATGAGAAGATAGCTTTTGTTTTGGATGCCCTGGGAAAATGCAAATCAGTAAATGCCGAGCGGATATGGATTTATATATTAAATATTGATCTACTCGGGAAGTGAACGAATCGTGTTTCAAGTTAGGCAATAAATGAGGTCGATGTGTACAGGAAGTATGCATACCCATACGTGGAGTATACAGCATGAATGCAATTTTCGTACAGCATTCAGAAATGTAGTCAATGAAAGAAAATATTTGCAATTGTTAATTGCAAAAAACACCCCCTCCGAGACAAGCCAAAAAAACAAAACAAACAAACAAAAAAAAACCAAAACCCCCCAAACTCCTTTCCTCTCGGTTGATCGATATAGTGTGTGTGTGAGCGCGCTCGCACATATGATTAAAAATCAATAATAAAGGGGCGAGATCCTGAAAGGCTTTGAACATCCGGTTTGTCCGGCGAGGAAAGAGTTAACGGTTTTCTTCTCAAGGGTCTCCGCTGACTCCCCAGCCGGGGTCCGCAAACTCTCCTCCTCCGCCTTCTGAGAAGTCCAGTGCCGGTGTTCGGGTCCCTGTCTCCTCCTTTTTTGCCCGTCTAGCGCCTTTGATTTTCCCCAAACCTGGGATCCCGAGTCCAGTGCAAATCGGCGCCCCGGGACGCAAGGAGGATCTACCTCTTCTGGATCCTGGCTGGGACGCGCGAGAAGTGCTCTCGCTGGGACCCGGGTGTACATCCGCGGAGCTCGCGGGGCAGAGGTCCCCCCACCGCGCCCCACGGCGCGCACCCGCAGCCACGCTGCTCCGCTGCGGCTGCGGCGCACGCAGGAACGCCTCAGGAATTAGTGCGTTCGCGGAGAGCCGCCGCCTCGCACGGCCGGCTCTCTGGGAGTCTGCGCGGGCTAGGCACGGGATACGGGGCTGGGCAGCACCCTGGCGGCTTCATTCTGGGTGGAAGGTGCCGGACCAGATAGCTGCGCAAGATGAATGCTTTACACGCAGACACTGCAATAGGTATATATGCGCGACGCGCTGTCCAATTATGCGTTGCAGATATTTTAATAATTCTAGGCATTATTAGGTCTGGGTCCCTAGACCTCTGGTATTCATCTCCACCTACACTAACACTGAGCACACTGCGCGCACGCTCACAGATACCCCGCTTTGCTCTTTTCTCTGTGGGACTTAATTTCTCAAAGCTTCTTTCTCCCCCGCCCTTGGGGCGTGCGTGGGGTGGCCGTGGGTCCACGGTGTGTTCGTGGTGTTGGGGTTAGCTGTTCCACCTGCGATGGCTGAAACACGCAGGACGAGAAAGCAGTTTGTCGGAGCACTGCGCCAGGGGATTAGCAGAGAAAGGGAAAGGATCCGAGCGGGAGTAAAAGAAAATGGTAGGCGCGCGCAGTTAATTCATGCTGCGCCTCACTGTTTACATCTGATAGCTAGAGTGTTGGGCTGAGGGCTGTCTCCTCCCCCTTCCCCAGCTACCCAGAAGCGCCCCTCCCGAGTTCCCAAAGCAGAGGGCGGGGGAAGAGGGTGAAAAAAGATTCTCTGGCGAATCCCCACCCACCAGCCCTTTATAACAGAAGGGTCTGAGCGGGAGGACCCCCGAGCTGCGCTTCTCGCGGCCGCCGCAGCCGCGCCCCGGCCGCCGCAGCCGCTTGGCTCTCCTCCAGCCTCGCGAAGGGCTGGGCTTTTCAGAGGCTTGGCGGGAAAAAGCTGAGGGGGAGGGATCGAGAGCGGCAGTATAAAAGTCGATCTTCTGGGCTTTATCTGACTCGCTGTAGTAATTCCAGCGAGAGGCAGAGGGAGCGAGCGGGCGGGCCCTCCGGGGTGGACGAGCCGAGGGAGCACAGCCGCGCGCCGAGCGCCCTGGGAAGGAGACCCGGAGCAACAGCGGCTTCGCCTCGGGCCCCGCCGCTCTCCCCGCCCTCCCGCTGACCCCACCGTCGGCCCGCAGCCCTCGCCTCGTCCGAGAAACTTTGCGCTTTGCAGCGGGCAGACACTTTGCCCTGGGACTTACAACACCCAGCGAGAACGCGGGAGGCTATTCCTTCTATTTGGGGACACTTCCCAGCCTCTGCCGGGACCCACGCCTCTGAAAGGCGCTTCTCGCCGCCGCTGGAAGGCTGGATTTCCTTCGGGTCGTGGAAAACCCAGTAAGCACCCGGATCTATTTGTCTTTTATTTGCCTTACGGTCTTAATACTGCGATTCATCGAGTGCCAAGTCGGGGTGCCTTTCGTTCCTGCGCTATTGACGCTTTTCTCCGGAATGGCTGGGGTCGGTCGGGGCGGAGTGGACGGTTGATCTGGCTCGGGGTAGAGTGACTTGTCAAAATGCGAGTAAATGGCTAAGGGAAATGGAGGTGCATTTTAAAACTAGGATTTTTTTTTTTTTTTTTACTATGTTGATGACCCCGTCCAGTTGGACATTCCTGCTTTATTGCATTCATTAACGGGGGGGGGGTCCCTCGCAGCGCTCGGAAAGCCCTTTGCGTCTGGGCTCCGTGGAGTACGGGTTGCACACTGCGTACGGGGGTAGCTAGCTCCGCGGCCGCCAGCTCGTCCCGGTCCCCGGGAGGGCATTTAAATTTCGGCTTACCGCATTTCTGACAGCCGGAGACTGGCACTGCGGCGCGTCCCGCCTGCGGCGATGCCAACTCGCCCCTGCTCCTTGGAGAAGTTGGCATCTGGCTTTCAGAATAGTAATAATAGTAAAATGAAAAGCTGAGCTCCCGCGGGAGACTAGGACTAGGATCAGGAGGCAAAGAGAAGCGAAAGGGGAGACCCGGGCGCGGATGAGCCCGATTCGCTCACTCGCGGGAGACTGGGGCGAGCCTCGGCACCCAGGCTTGGCTCCCCGCCACCGTGTGCCGGGGCTCCTGTGCCCCGGGGATGCAGAAGGATGGCGAGGAGCCGGGTTCCGCCTGCTCCGGAGCAGCTGCTCCCTTCGGCGGGGCCAGGCGGACTCCGCCGGCGCGGGCGCGATCGCTGAGGGTCTGGCGCAGTTGCGTCACCGCGCGGAGTGTTCGAGGGAGGCGCCCCCGCTATTATGGAACAGCCCCCTTTTTTATTTGCGGGGATTGAGGGATCGTTAACGTCGTAGGCTGAGCTGGCCCCGCCAGCCCGCGAGAGAAAAGAAAAGCCGGCAGAGGAAGGAAGAGGGCGCG